CCTGGGGGTCTGCAGGGTTGTTCTCACATATTCTCAGTCCTCTCTCTGGCTGCAGTTGTGCAGTTTTCTTTTTCCCCCATTCTCAAACACGTTATCCCACTAGTACTGTTGCTGATGGGCTCAGCCTTGGCCAGCAGTGGGTCCATCTTGGAGCCGGCTGGCATTGGGTCCCCACAGGGAAGAGCAGCTTCTCACAGAAGCCAGCCCTGTAGCCCCCTGCTACCAAAACCTTGCTATGCAAACCCAGTACATGTGACTGCCACACAACACACAGTCCCCAGGCTGCACCCAAGCTCATTCATGCACAGAAGCAGATCCCCCAAGGGATGCAGCACTACTGGTGTACTAAAATGCAGCTTAAGCATTTTGCAGTGTGGGCTGTGAGATTATTTCCTCTTCAAACAGAGACTCCCCAAACTGACAGAGGAATACAAGTAAATAGGCCAAGCAGGAAATAACTACACCAAGCTCAACCTCATTTTTATATTGTTTTAGGTGAAAACTGTTGTGGTGGTAGCCTGTGAGACAGGCTGTGAAACTGTCTGAAAACAACAGGCTAATCATTGCATTCCTGATAGGTGAGAAAACCTGTTTGAATGCAGCAGATGGTCCTAGTGGGATTTCTGTCCTGTGTTCCTGAGGACAGGAGGATCCTGTGCACATGTGGCAAATTCTGAAACCTGATTTTGATTCCAGTGTGACAGAAGTGTTTTTGCCTCAGAAATAAAATTCCTAGAAGTATTAACAATTGGGATGAAACTTTATTTTCCTTTTGTCCACTCACCAGATCTGTGGGCAGAGTTCCCTTCCACTTCCTCTCACCGGAGAAGATTTTCACTAGCCCAGCCTACACCTCTGTGCAGCTCCAGCCTATCAGTGGCTGCTGTACTGGCAGAGAAAATCCAGTGACTGTGATTCACACAGCAGCAGCTCAACCTGGCACAGGGAGAATGGCAATGCTGCTCCTTGCAGGTTGTTGGCTCTGCTTGTCAGAGACCACAGCCTGAAGAACGCAGACGGGAAGGAACCCTGCTTGGAGCATTCCAGCCATGCCAGCACTCAGCACATTGGGACCAGCCTATGCCCTTCTGTGCAGCAGCCAGCAGACCTCACCTACAGACTACGCAGTGCAGTAGCTGCAGGTGCTGGGACATCTTCCTATGCCACTCCTGCTAGGAGAGGCAATGACAGAGCTCAAGGCATCCAGAAAAGGGCAGAAATGCTCTGCTCCAAAGGGTCCAAGCAAGATGGCAGGAAGGCAGAGTTTACCTCTGTCTGGAGCACCAGAATCGGCTGCCCTTAGTAGAGCTCCATTCCGAGTTGCAGGGTGGAAACTGCTGCCTCCTCTGCTCGCTTTCTGCTTGGAACTTCAGAGCTTCCTCAATCGCAGCCTCGGCCTGCCTCAAGGCTTCTGTCGGTGCCCCATTTTCATCATAGAATCTGCCCACCAGCTTCCCTGGGAGAGAAGTTCAATTAAGGCCACAGTGTTTCCAGGCAAGGAAAATTAATAGTTCTGGTTTATTGGTTCTAATTTGTTATTTAAAGACAAGAAACAGAGGATCTTATCATGGCCCAATTTTAAAACCGAACTGGGCTGACTTTCCTTCCATCCCTGTACCACGCAGCAATTTACCCATGTTAATAAATCCGCGCAGGACAAGCTTAGGCACAGACTCACTAAAGGTCTGAAAGTCAATGCCACATTCAGCTGCAGGGCCCAAAAGTCTTTCCCACTCGTGCACCTCCTTCCCCAAAACCGTCTCCCAGCAATACTGCTCCTACAGTCTCCCGAGTCCTGCTCGTTTCGGGACTCTGGGTGCTGGTGCCATGCTGGGGCTCAGCGAGGTGAAGGTGGCAGGCCAGGAAAACCGTAAGCTTCGCCTTAGCAGGCCCCAAGCCTGGTTGGCCTTAGCGGCAGCTCCCGCCAACCACTCGCATTTCGCCAAGGTGGGCATGGCGCACACCGAACCCAGCGCTACGCTGCCGGCCTGCCCTCGCCACGCGTTCCCCTCGCCCGTGGTCACCCCGGCCGGAACCACCTACCCACGGGATGGTAGCTGTCGCCATAGAAGGAGAGCCAGCTCCGGATGGCGAGCATCTCGCCCGGTGACAGCGCCGAGACGTCGTCCACCAGTCCGGCCTGGGTGAAATCCCCGGTGGCGAACGCCCTGGTGGCATCTCTCCCTGCGGGGCAGCCATGCGGTGAGCACCCCC